TTTGCAGGTCGTGGCCACGCTCCGCCTGGCGCTGCTGGTCCCGTGGGCGGCCGGGCTGAACTTCACGTACCACCACCAGCCGGAGATGGAAACCTTCCTGCGGGGCGTGCAGGCGCAGCACCCCGGCATCGCGCACCTGCACAGCGTGGGGCGCTCCGTGCAAGGTAGGCGCGCGGGTGCCCCTCAGAGAGCGGGAAGGGGGTGACTCTGAAATGGCTGTTTTCTTTCTAAAGAAACGCCACCCTGTGCAGTTTCTCCGTCCCCGCTTCGGCAGCCTGCACAGGACCCCCGGGCCCCTCGAGCGGAGGAAAAGCCTTCCTCTTTTAATGCCCCGGGATCGCGGACTCCTGCGCGCTGTCATTCTTCGCTCGCTCAGCCCTCGGGGTGCGCACAGAAGTTGCTTTAGTCAGCACTTCAGGCGCCGTATTGCCCTGACTTCACAGAAGTGCACGGCTTTCCGGCACTTTAAAAATGGGCACAGAGCTTCAATTAACCCTTGTTAAATGGAGGTATTAAATTTGGAGCGCTATATTTTAACAGCTGCATTTCTAAACCTGGGGGTTGCAACCCAAAAGTGGGTGGCAAGAATATATGAAAGGGTCGTGAGCAAACTTTAGAAATGGATTCTCCTTTAAAAGAGAAAAAACGTGGGAAATCGTGGGTTTCCCCATGTGGGCTGGCAGAGCTTCAGCCTGCAAGGGGGTGCTTGGGGGCCCCCCCTGCTCCACACACCCACCTCCGTCCCCACACATGCCCTTTGTCCCACACTGGTGCACTGGGGGCAGCAGGTCAGGAGTGAGGGGCACTGAGTTGGAACTGGTCATTGATGTTTACAAATGGGTCCTGGTACAAAAAAGGTTGAGAACCATTGTTTTACAGCACTTTAAATAACTTCTGTATGTCTGTCAAGTTTCTGCCCAGTGGGGAAACCCCAGGAGGCTGTGGAGTGCCACCTACTGCCTAGCCTGGAAAGTGCGGAGAGACTCATAGACCCCCTTCGGCCTCCCCACATCAAACATTGCACTTCTGTCATGTTTTAAGAGCGCTGTACCTTTATAGCGCTATAAAAAGTTTTCTGATGCCTGAGAGCAGATGCTTTTACTGGCTTAAGTAGGGGGTTGCAAAAGGTTGGCAGCTTGCTCAGTTGTGGTAGTTCCTAGAATTATCTGCTTAATTCTGCCTGGCCAAAAACATATCTTTTTTTTTATTCTGGCAACATCTGCTAGCTGTTGCACTACATCCAGCAATGTTTATTGGGGTGGCAAGAACATTTCAGGTAATGTCTGTTGCAGTGAGCCATAACTTCTCCAAAGTTACATCGTGAAACCTCTGATCTGAGGCCACACCATGAAACTAGATGTTTTTGGTTGCTGACTTCAAAAGCCAAAGGGATTAAAAGGAGATTCTTATTGTTCAGGGCTATAATGATGGTATTGCAGCATGTGTGTGTGTGGGATTTGTTTTGTTTTGTTCTCTCCCCCTCCCCCCAGCTTAGAATCATAGAAAATTAGGGTTGGAAGGGACCTCAGGAGGTCACCTAGTCCAACCTCCTGCTCAAAGCAGGACCATCCCCAACTAGATCATCCCAGCCAAGGCTGTATCTATCTGGGTCTTAGAAACTTCTAATGACTGAGATTGTACCTACAACGTCTCTGGGTAGCCTTATAACTTGAGGATAAGTTTGAAAAATATTTTATTCCTGGAGTTGTTCATTATTCTAACATACTAGACTAATTACAAAAAATACTCTGTATGACATGCTGAAAACCTGCCTTTCATTCCCTTCCTTTTTTTGGCACCAAGTCTCAAACTCAGCAGGAGAGTATGCCTCTAGCTATAACTGGTTTTCTGTCTGTGTGTATTTTAGTTTGCTCTATCTCCATTCAATTTCAGCACTCACTAAGAATTTTATTAGGGTATTGACACATTCATGCCTTTTGAAATTAGATATTAGCAACAGGAGTTCTCACTTGATTGGGAAAAATGAAATTAAGAAGTAAGCTATAGAATTAGAGATGAAGAGTTCTTCAGTTTCTTGAGAAATGTCATATGTAAGTATAGTCTTAGCAATAATTAAATCTGTGACTTTTTTTCCAGTAGATCCATACCACTTTACCACAGTTCAGGTAGATCAGTATGAAGAAATGGAGTATCTAGAACAGTGGTTTTCAAACTTTCATTTACAGACCTCTTTGGAAATTTCGAAGGGAGGTGCGGACCTCTTTGAATAGTAAGTGTGGGTATTCACATACTTTTGATTGATCAGCATCATCTTCTGCAGACCCCTTAGACATAGTCTGCAGACCCGCAATGGTCCGTGGACCACAGCTTGAAAACCACGGATCTAGAACATCTCTGCCAACTAGAGCAGAAAATAAAATACAGTTAAATATGTGGTTTCAGATTTTCTCAGGGGCACTTTTTTCAGGGAAAGCATTTTTCTTTCTAAGAGTCTTGACTTTTCTGGTTCCTTCCAAACACTGTTTGTGTCATCTGTGGAACCAGTTGCCATACCAATGCTTGTATGCACAAACTCAGTTATGCTCTCTTTTACTTTAAGAAAAGAACCAAATAGTAATGAGGAAGAATTAAACTAGTTAGAGAATTGAAGATTTTAGAAATAGAATGAATACATTAAGTTGTTTTTTCCATTCATTCCAATGGAGATTTGCTCCCAAATGTTAATATTTTACTATGAGGGATCTTAACAAATAATAGGTCCAAATTCTGTCCTCATTGGAAATAATGAACGCCAGGGATTTCATTCTGTATAATCAGTGGTTGTCTTTGGACTGCATTTAATCACAACCTTTTTCAGCCTGAGAACTTAATAAATTGGAATCAATGTTTAAGCAATTCCACAACTGCCATTTAAAAAAACCCCAAAACTACCTGTCTAAGTTGAATCAGTTCAGGAATGTAGCCCTCCACTCCTCCTACATGCATAAGCAGAACAAGGGCAGAAAGCGTGCTATCAAGTGAGCATCATACCTGCATCATTCAAAATGGGAAGGGAAATACTTTCTTCCTTTCTCATCCTCATGTGGTGATTAGAGTAGTTTAAAAGAAAATACAAGTAGAACAATTGCAGCAAGGGGGACTGAATCTGTCCACTTCTAGATTACTGGGCAATTGCCCAAAAAGTTGGAGACCTTAGTTTTATGTCAAGTCAGGCCCAGTGGATTTGCATGTGGAGGATCTACATGTATAATGTGGGTCCTAACTACTAGGACAGGGGTGGGCAATTATTTGGACCAGTGGGCCACATAGGCAGTTTTGGGGAGCTGTTCCAGGCCAGTCACCACCCCCCACACACATACCCACAA